AGCTAACTGTTAGCCTCCTGTCTCCTCTGAAAGCTAACTGTTAGCCTCCTGTCTCCTCTGAAAGCTAACTGTTAGCTTCCTGTCTCCTTTGAAAGGTAACTGTTCCTGTCTCCTCTGAAAGCTAACCGTTAGCTTCCTGTCTCCTTTGAAAGCTAACTGTTAGCCTCCTGTCTCCTCTGAAAGCTAACTGTTAGCCTCCTGTCTCCTCTGAAAGCTAACCGTTAGCTTCCTGTCTCCTCGCAGGCGGATGCTAAGATGGTGTGCGACGTGGTGAGCCGTATGGAGGACACGGAGCCGTACTCTGCTGAGCTGCTGGGGGCCATGATGCGCCTGTGGGCCGACTCGGGCATCCAGGAGTGCTTCAGCCGCGCCCGGGAGTACCAGCTGAACGACTCCGCGCAGTAGTACGTCCACTTCCTGTTGGTCTAAAAACACTTTTTATTTTTCTTTAATCTGCATGTTTTCTACCTGACAAGACCTTCAACATTTCCTCTCCTGTGAGTCTTGTCCTGTTTTGTCTTTTTGTCTGGGTCCAATCCAAAAACCTCAAAAAGACTAATCCTGTAACGTCTAGTAACACAGCCACCACTCAACTAATGAAACCTTTTAATGATCAAAGAGGATGAGTTTAAATATGAGTAAAGAACAAACTCAAACAGGATTTATTCAGAAAAGACAGTAAAAACTGAGACAAATCTCAAACAGGCAGATTCAGAGAACAGTTCAGAGAACACGTCAGCAGGTGTTTGGACCTGGCTTCAGTCCAGCAGGACCTGCTTTGTTCTGTTTGTGGTAAATGTCACATTAAAGATTGATGCTCACTTCCTGTTCGGCTGCGACCCGCTGAGCTGCATGCAGCCAGCAGCCAATCAGGTGAGAGGGCAGGAGCAGCCAATCAGGTGAGAGGACAGGAGCAGCCAATCAGGAGAGAGGACAGATGTCACGTGATCAGACCACACTAAGTGATTTAAAGCCACAATGTTTTACTGTCAGTTCCTGAAGGAAGGAGGCTTTTCTACAGGTAAACAAAGGTTTAAGGAGGTAAACATCATTCATCCATCCACCCATCAACCATCCATCCATCCATCCACCCATCAACCATCCATCCATCCATCCATCCACCCATCAACAGTCCATCCACCCATCAATCATCCATCCATCAATCAACCATCCATCCATCAATCAAACATCCATCCATCAATCAACCATCCACCCATCAATCATCCATCCATCAATCAACCATCCATCCATCAATCAAACATCCATCCATCAATCAACCATCCATCCATCCATCCATCAATCATCCATCCATCCATCAATCAACCATCCATCCATCCATCAATCATCCATCCATCAACCATCCATCCACCCATCAACCATCCATCCACCCATCAACCATCCATCCATCCATCCATCAATCAACCATCCATCCATCCATCAATCATCCATCCATCAACCATCCATCCACCCACCCATCAACCATCCATCCACCCATCAACCATCCATCCATCCATCCATCAATCAACCATCCATCCATCCATCAATCATCCATCCATCAACCATCCATCCATCCACCCATCAACCATCCATCCACCCATCAACCATCCATCCATCCATCAATCATCAACCATCTATCCATCCATCCATCCATCCATCCACCCATCAACCATCCATCCACCATCCATCCACACATCAACCATCCATCCATCCATCAATCATCCATCCATCAACCATCCATCCATCCACCCATCAACCATCCATCCACCCATCAACCATCCATCCATCCATCAATCATCAACCATCTATCCATCCATCCATCCATCCATCCACCCATCAACCATCCATCCACCATCCATCCACACATCAACCATCCATCCATCCATCAATCATCCATCCATCCACCATCCATCCATCCATCCATCCATCCACCCATCAACCATCCATCCATCCATCCATCCATCCACCCATCAACCATCCATCCATCCATCCATCC